CAGTCTTATTCTAAGCACGATGGCCATGAAATCACGCAATCAATTATACAAACGTTTGTTGATATACTTACGATCAATGCCTAATTTTCCCCGGAAGCCCGTGAAGAACGACCTGAAACCATCTCACATACCACTAGTGGACCGTGAACACGTGCTGGGATGCACCGACCCGGCGAAGCAGGGAAAGGACCTGCTCTTCCCTCCCCGGATCACTGAAACAGCACTTCTGCTTCAAGTCAGAGCTGTGCTCTTTCGTCTGTGCCCCTACCAAGGGCCTAAAACTGCAGATCCTCTCAGAGGCGCTCACGAATCACGGCATGATAAAAACAACCCAGGTCTTCAAAGTCAGGGTGGCAGGTTCCAATCCCAGCCCCGCTGCCCACCAGCCGGGGAAACTTGAGCCCGCGAAACCCTCCAAGCTTCAGCTGTACTCCTCTTTGAGACGGAGAGCACCTTCCGAGTGAGGCTGCAATGAGACACCACAGTGGACAGTGCCTGGCTCGGGACCTTCCTGGGGTCAGTGAGGCTCCTCAGTCCTCCACCGTCCCGACCTCCCTGATCAGATGATATAAAGATGAGCAAACAGAGGCATGGAGAGGCAAAGCCATTTGCGGGAGTCCGACGGCTGACTCGATGACAGAGGCGGCATCTCGACACAGGTGCTGAGCCTCCAGCGGGCAAGTGCTTAGCCCCGCACGGCACTGCGTCCCTGGGCTCAGCATGGGGGTCCTGGGACCTCAGATCAGGCGGGGAGCTCAGATGGACCCAGGAGGAAATCCTATTCTGGCTGATGGAAAGGATTTTCCCTTTCTGTCCCCTGTCAGGGGCTGCCCCAGCCCCAGGCTGCGGACATCTGGGAAACATCTCACGTGCCCCCTGAGCAGAATCCAGGAGTTCTGGGGGGCATCTGCTAGGACCTGCCCACTGAGGCTCATGGCGGACTTTATTTAGAGCACCTGCTTCTGCTCGCCCTCCAGGGGCTCGCTGGGAAAACATGAACTGAGCTGCCTGTCTTTCCCTGTATCTGGTTACTTTATTTTTTGGAGGAAAGTAAGGAGAAACAGTGAACACAACACTCCCCGTCATTTAATTACAGGAACAGTCGGGACCAATTTGGCGGCTGTTAAAATATTAGTTTGCCTTTATGCCATCTCTTCGCAGCTGGAGCTGGGGATCCAAATTGGCTGCCAAGGGCTGGAGATGGGGACAGAAGGTCAGCACTGCTATTAGGAAACACGTGGAATTAAAAACCAAGGCACCCCGTGGCCTATTTTGTGTCTCACTGCTTGCTCTGGCCTCTCCACATCGTTTGGTCTTTCAAACTCTTTGCCTTTGTCACAATGTCTTTTACAAGGGCTGGTCTGGGAGTGGAGAGCATCCGAATGGGAAGGGCCTCTGGAGACCATCTTGTTCATCCCCTTTGGTTTTGAAAGGGAGAAAATGGAAGCCCAGAGTAGCAGAGTGTCTGCCTCGAGGCCACCCAGCATATGGGAGGAAGGCAGGCCCAGAGCACAGACAGGCTGCATCATATAGGGGTCATGACCTTGGGCTCTAGGGATACCCTCCCCACCCCAGGCTTGAGTCCCAGACCTGCCCTGAGTGCGCTTAAGCAAGTTACTTAACCTCTCTGTTTCCTCATCTGTAAAACGAGGCTAGTAAGTTGCAAAGGGTCACCATCTGGAGCCAGAAAAATCAAACCAACACAAAGGAAACAAGAACTAAAAGAAGGTAAGGAGGTTGTCACAAAGTACAAATGTCCAATTGTAAAATAAATAAGTCCCGGGGACGTGACATACAGTCAGTAATACTGTATCACGTATTTGAAAGCAGCTAAGAGAATAGATCTGAGACGTTCTCATCACAAGGAAAAACTGGAACCATGTGCAGTGACGGACAGTTAACTAGACTTACGGTGATTATTTTGCAACATATACAAATAACGAATTGTTATGTCTTCCACCTGGAGCTAATCCAATGTTAGGTCAATTACATCCCAATTGAAAAAGACAAGAAGATTCCTGCTATTGAACTATTTGGCTGTTAGATGTGTCTATTTTTTCTTTAACCCTCTCCAGGAATAATAGTAAAAATTAAACAGCCAAAAACAACCCACAAAAGGAGAGGAAAGGGAAAGAACTAATGGAGTCTGGACTTGAGGGAGGGTCATCTGAACCGCTTGATTCAGCCCTACCTGAAGTCAGACACCAACGTCCTCCTTTCATTAACATCCTTTACTCTCTTAGCCTAGTTTCAGCTGGGTTTTGGTTATCTGCCACCCAGAGCCCTTTGTGACACACCACCCGCTCAGGGACTGGAGCTAAGCCATGGCCAGCTCTGTGCCCTGGGGAGGGGATGACAGAGCATGCGCTGTGGCTAGGCTGGCTCACGCAGCAGGTGAGGCCCCAGCTGATGGAGAGGAGAGGGGGGCAGATGATGGCTCATTTTACTACAAAATTAATACTCAATTACTGCCCTTCATTCATCTCAGTGAGAGAAAACCAGCCAAGGGCTCATTCACGGGTAGCAGAACTTGTGAGCGTTTCTGTTCAGAGAGCCTTGGGTTTTAGGGTTTCAGGAGGAGGTGTGATCCACATCCTAGCCTGAACCTTCACCTTGTCCTACGCCAGTGGGGTACCTGTCAACCACCCATGCATGTCAACTAGACCGGACGTACTCCCACATCCAGAGGCTTGGCTCTGGTCCCAGCACCAACTGCTTATCTCTTCCACCAGCAATATTTTCATCCTCTGTTCATCATGGCCTGACGTCACCATCGTCACGTGGCATTTATTACATGCTGGATGCTTTAGATGCAGCATCCACTGAATCCCCTCAACCCCGCAGGGGTAGGTCTAGTAATATTTCCATTATACGGGTAAGGGATCAGGCTCAGAGAGGTTAAGTCACCTGCCGAATTCAACACAGCTAGGACAGGACAGAGCAGGACTCCAGTCCAGGACGTACAACCTCAAAGCTCATGAGTTTTAACCTCTGTGCTATCCCCAGTCCCAAGCACAGGGCCTGGAAAGAATGGAGAGAGAATAAATATGGACGAGGGTGCATAATAACACTAGGGCAGACATAATTCAGACCCAAGGCCATCAAATTACAACAGGCTCCTCTCTCACAATGCCACTTTGCACCAAACACGTATTACAAGGTTACGTGTCGGGGAAGAAGAGTCTTCATTCTCCACCTAGAGAATGGGCCTAGACACCGACATCTGGGCCAGTTTTGATAACTAACACCTGCATGGAATCTTTTTCAGCTCCGCCTTGCTCCACCTGGGCTCTGGGGGCAGAGAACTGGGTTCAAATTCTGGCGTTTACCAGTTGTGTAACTTTGGCAAGATCATTTAGATTCCCAAAGACCCCCTTTCTTCTCCTGACAGATGGGGATAGTAATTCTTACTTTGCACAGAATGGATGTAAGAATGAAACTGGATCCCCTAGAAAGGGTCAGTGGAGCAGGGCACTTATTAGGAACACAATGCCCAGTGGCTCCAATTCTTGAGTCTACCCCAGGCCTTGATACCCTTCTTGGTGGAACATACTCATCTGGGCTGATTTAGAGAGCACCCTCAAGTCAGGTTCCTTCGAAATGTAAAAAAATTCAGGCTGTCGGTAGGATAGGAACAATCTAACAGCTGGATGAAATCAAAGAATTTCGGAAATGACAACATGAAGGATTCGGGGTTACATCTGGAGAGCCCCGGAGACGGAGCTCACGGCTTTGCTTCTTGTCCCTCCCCTGCTGCCTGCCTGGGTAACTGGGTGAACAGCGTTCCCAAGCCAGCCAAAGCGCGCCTCCATCAGGCCTGGCAGAGAAGACCCAAAGCACAGATCGCAAACCGGAAGGCCAGAGGGGGCCAGGTAGGGAAAGGGGACAGGTGAGGACCGCAGTGACCTGGAGGACAAAGGCTTTGTCTATGACCCGATCAGAGCCTCCCAGTGGGAAAACTCAGGCCCAGAGTGAGCAGACACCAGGATCTTTTAAGAGGAACTGAAATCCGGATCGCATGGAAAACTTGACTACTTTTACATGGGCTATTCACTTTTAAATGAAGCACTGGAATCAAAGCAAAACAAAACCAAACCAACACAGGAATGCGCTCAAATTATCCCATATGCTGGCAGGTTATGGTTTGAGTTCAATGCTAGCAAAAAACCTCCCTCCCAGCCTCACTCCCAGAGTGATCCTGGGCTGGGCTTTGCTAATGAACCTGGGGATGGGGAGACTGAGCCTGTGATCTGCCCTAGAGGGGGCGCTCGAGACTGATTCCCTTCTAGCTGACCTCCAGCCAGAGACACAGACGTGCCTCAAAGCTGTTCGGCTTCACTCATAGGTGAGTGAGGTGCAGTGGATTCAGATGGGGCTTCTGGTGCCTCGAACCTCTGCCCATGTCCTAGGCGGCAAGGGTAAGCCACTGGCACGGACAGAGAGAGGAAGTCACGATAGTTGAGCTCAACTCCATGCTGGCGAGAGACTCTTTCTCCCTATGAAGTAAATTCTACGAGAAGGAGGCTTTTGGTCTTGTTCACCTCTAGAAGGCTGCCTGACACGTGGTGGCACGGGGCAGGTATTTGCTGAATGACTAGATGACCAGTGATGGCCGCGCATCTTTGACCCAATGAACTGAGGCCATCACTTAAACTCTGGGCCTTGGTCTTCCCACCAATATAGTAGAGAGTAATGATGGCTGCCCTATTTACCTCAAAGGATGGCCGTAATGAGATAACGGACTCAGAAAAGTTATCTTTTCTATCTATCTATCTGAGATAGGTGTAAAGGCCTATCATGCGAGGAGATGCACTATTATCCCTGTCCTTGGCTAATGCGGGAGACCATCTCAGATCCTATGTGAAAGGGGCTGAGTCATGCCTTTCTCCCACTATCTACTTTCCTCCGGCTGTACCAAACCAGGAAGGAAGTCCCAAACGATCACACAGATTTTCATTTCCATTTTGCACAAGGTTGTTTTGGGGAGTAAGATGTACTACCTTGCGTTGTCCCGGCCGTGTGACTTCAGGAAATTCATATCTCGGTACCGGGAGAGAAATGCCACCAGCTGGTCATTTGTCCTGTGGAAACAAACCAAGAGGAAGGTCAGAGTCCTCTAGAGTCCTCCAGAGACCGTGGACTACGTTTAAATTGGCTTATATTATGATGTAAGCTCCATGACGGCAGAACCTAGTGGGATTTGCTCCTCCCCGGCACACAGTAGGAGCTACAGTAGGGTTGTTGGATGAATGATACCAAGTCCTTGATACCCACTGGGCTACCGACTGAGAGAGCTTTGAAAAATACGAAGTGTGATCCAAACAGATGATGTCGTTCCCAGCATTGTTATCCCAAATTTATCGCCATCAATCTCGGCACAGGCAGTGTAGTCACAGCTAATCAGCTTGTGCATACAGCTGTGACAGTATTTTAAAAGGCAGTCACACGGGTCTCCATCTGCCAGAAATGCAGTCATCTCTTCTGCTGAATAAACCCAAACAGGTAAACGGTGCTGAAGTGACAGCTCCTTTACCATCAGGGCTCTCTGCTCAGCGATTTTTACTTAAGAAGGAAAGGGTTAACCACTGTTTCATAGTGGGAGACAGGGTGGAGGTGATGGAAAGGAAGGACGTCCTTGGGAACAGAACAGAGGGCCACCAGACCGCTGGGAGGCAGGTGGGTGCCTCGGAGAGCAATGCCTGGGCTCTCGAAGCAGAAAGGTCTGGAGACAGATCCCAGCTCCACTCCTGACCCAGCTGTGTGTCCAAGGGTGAGTAATTAAACCTCCTTCTCTGAACTCCCCTGACCGCCCAGCAGATAGCGGGCTCTCTGCACATACAGCGTACAGACAACTGGGCATATAGTAGGTGTGCAATAAACCCAAGGGCTCAGCGCCTTCCGCCTCCCGCCATCGGGTCTGAGCGGCCCCCACCCGGCACACTGCCTTCATTTCCCTGCAACTCCTAGCGCCACCGCCAGCCCGTTCTGTGATTGGATGACTCATGTTGACCAACTCCTAATTCCAGCAGAGGGGGCACCGAGCAGTTAAGAGACGCTGCAGTGATAACGAGCACTGCCGATGTCCCATCCTGCCAGTGAGATGAACCCCGACTCACAGCCAGCCGTTCCAGCAGTGTCTGGGAAACCCCGGTACACCCCAGTGTGTACCTGGCACACACGCAGCAAGCCAAGCCCCACGGGGTCGCAGAGGGGTGAATCCCAGGGACGCAGACAAAAGGCTAACCCCACGTGTCTGCAAAATGATGGGTCTCCTGTGTGGACAACCGTGCCCGCATGCTGTCAGGGAAAGCCCACGAGCCTCCTACCAAGTTATGGGCAGCTGTGGGCAGAGCCCCTCTGGAATTTGCTGGGAGAGGTGGAAATGAGCTCAGTCCATACAAAAAAAAAAAAAAAAAAAAAAAAGAAGAAGAAGAAAGAAAGAAAGAAAGAAAACGATGTCTTTTTCCAAACCGTAAAGAGGCCCGCTCCCTTGCCAGGTCTTAGCGGTTCCTATTTACCAAACCCCTCGCCACTCCGCGACAGTTCATTATTGTCGTCCTGATGAATACGGGGACAAGTTAACCTCTGAATGGGTCCCTGGCAGCAGGAATAATAAATAGGGCCTCTCAGCGGCCTCAGGGGGAGGATTGGAGGGGCCAGGCGGTGGCTCCCGGGCCCTGTGCGCAAAGCCTCAGGCCTCCCAGGGTCAGCGGCCGCAGCTCCATTTGGCAACCCCAGAAAGCTCCTTTCAAGGCCCTGAGCTGGGGCCATTTTCACATTTACTGCTTCACCGAGCCCCCATCTGACGGGGATGAATAGGCATTTAGCGAATTTACTTAGCGATGCTTCCACATGAAATCGTCTCAAAAGATGACATCTTGGTGGGGGGGGGGTGCGCCCAGGGAGGGGGCTGCAGATTCCAGGCCCCGACCTGGGGAGAAGGCTGCCTTTCAAAGCAAGGCACTGTGTGCCTGGTTTGGACGGACTGGCGGGGCGAGGGGATCCCTGAGTCCCCCTCTCGCCCCCCTCCCTGGGGGCCCCCAGCCCCCTCCCTCTCCCTCTCCCTCAGCGTAGAACGCCTGATTGGCATGCTAAAATTCGTCTCCCCAGCCCTTCTTCAAGGGGACGTGCGATTCGGCCGGGGCCCACGTTTTCTTATTGTTGCTTTCAGAGGCCTGTCTGTAAGAGCCTACATAATACTTAGTTCTCCTTGGATAATTAACGGTTTGTGATCTGCTGACATTTTACCCAATACCAGCGCCCCCCCCCCAATCCATTTCTCACTCCTCCTTTCTGGTGGAGTCATTTGCCGAGTGACTCCCACGGCTCGTCATCTCCACCTTTTGTGGAAATCATTAGAAGACACGTTTCCCCGTCCACGCCCGTTCCTCGGATTCAGGATGGTGACTCTGGGCCCATCACTGGCAGCCTTCAGAGCCACTGGGATGTCTTCACGGAAGTACGTAAATAAGTAAATGTTAAAATAAATGATGTATTTTGATAAGGAAGAGATTTATTTCAATGAAGAAGTTGCTGTCATATAAATAAACCTATTGGAACCCAGTCAAAATCTCTGTTGGAATCAAACAACAAAAGAACCAGTAAAAACAGCTCTCGAACCATGACCATTTACGAAATGCCCACCGTGCCTGAGACCCTGGGGCCAACTTTGCCACATTTTATCGCATCTCACTATTCACCGAGACTCTCTGAGATGGGAGTTTCATTCCCATTTTGCAGATGGGTGACTGAGGCTCAGAGAAGCCACTGCTTAGCCAAGTGCAGAACCAGAATCACAAGCTGGTTCCAAATGTCAAAGCCCATCACGCCCTTTGCTACTAGACTGCTTCCGGAACGGAGTGAGGGAGTGAATGAATGCGTGAGAGAAAGAGTGAATGAAGGAGGTGCTCCGAGGCCTCCCCAATCAGAGCCTGATCTGGGGGCGAGCAGCAGCAGCCCACTGCTATGAGAAACGCAGCACCTCTGGCTCCGCCCAAGACCTATGGAGTTAAAATCGGCTTTCTAACGAGATTCCCGGGGGTGCGTGTACCCTTCAAAGTTTAAGAAGCGCTGCTTTTAGTGAGGTGTGAATATGGTGGTTAATTCTCTTCCTCTTTCTTTCTTCATCTTCTCCCCAAGGCCTGTTCCTGAAAGCCCAGACTTGTAGCCAGTTACTTTCATCTTAGTAAGTCTCAGGTGTTGGGATTATACAATAAAGTAACGCACCAAAGACCTGGGCAGTAGCACCGGGCATACAGTAAGCCCTTGATAAATGTTAGCTGTTAGTTCATGGTATTATTACCATCCTGAATATCAGAAGCTGAAGACATTTCGAGCAGGAGACAGGAGTATAATGACCCAACCAGATTTGAACTTGGAAAACTTTCTGGGTGTAAGACCCAGGGGATGTCCCTGCCGAGTGTGGCTGGGGAAATGCCCCAGAGAAGGGACTCGTCCATGGTCTCCCAGCTGGTGTCAGCATTAGGGTGGCTCGCAGAGGACCACCTCAACAATGTGTGTGTCTAAGATGTATCATGGCCCTGGGCATGAGGACACACAGGACGAGGGTGGCATGGTTCAGCTCTCAGGTCCTTCTAGTGCCCAGGAGCCCAGTCGCAGCCGTGCTGGTCTGCTGGCCACGTGGGGGCAGCCCGAGGAGGGGATGGGGCGAGCCCAGCCTCCACCTGGAGAAAGCACGCACAGCACCAGCTGAACTGCTCTATGTCCCTCCTGCCTGCCAGGCAAGAGTCCAGAACCCCTCCGTCTGATACTGGGAAGAATCTGGCAGAGGTGCTCATGACCACTGCTAAGGCAAAAGTGAAGCATAAGGATCTTTGTGAATGTCAGGAGAAAGGGCTTAACGGCTCGGAGTCTGTGCAGAACCCACAGGGCCCTGGATCGAGCCCTTGTGGATGCACTGGGTAGGCCACGGGAGGGGTAAACAAGTGTGCGAGCGGCAGCAGAGGGAGGACTACGGCGCTGGGCCGGGAGGGGTGGGAGGGTGAAGGCACCGTCCGTCTGAGCACAGGGCATACCGACTTCCCCAGCTTCTTCCCCCTAGCGTCTCATCTGCACAGTTGTTTCATAGGTACGTTCAATTTAAACAGTACTTTAGCTCTGCCCTGTGCAACAATATTTGTAGTACCTGATGTACCTTTCTCCAATCTTAAATTGTGGTAAAATACACAGAACATCAAATCTGCAGTCTTAACCATTTTTGAGCGCACAGCTCAGGCGTCTGAAGTACATTCGTACTGTTCTGCGAGCATCACCACCATCTATCTGCGGAACGCTTTTCATCTCGTGAAACTGAATGTCTGACATCTGGAAGCAGGAGCTCCCCATGTCCCCATGGCTCCCAGCCCCAGCCCCCAGGAACCAGCATTCTACGTCCCGTCTCTGTGAACAAGTTCACAGAGGAGTCAAACTCCAGGAACCTCGTGCAAGTGGGACCCTAGGGTGTCTGTCAATGGTACGAAAATGCATGTCATACCAAGCGTCAGAATTTCCCTTTTTGAGGCTGAGTCATTCTGATTTACCATTTATAGGTCTTTTTCCTGTGACACATGAGCAGCCATAATGACTGCGTGTCTTTGTACCTTCTAAAGCACCTGGGCCACCAGGGGGATACGGAGAGTGGCCAACCATCCTGGCTGGGTGTCCGGGACACAGATGTTTTAGTTTTAAAATCAGATGGTCCCAGGCAAACCAAAATGAGAAGGCGGCACCTGGGTCTGTCAAGAGCTGTGGGATCACAGGAGTGATGTCAGATTTGGAGCCCCTCCCCCGCCTTTTTTTTTTAATAAGAGATTAAAACAAAATTTTTTTTCATTTGATAGAAAGAGCACAAAGAAGGGGAGTGGGACAGAGAGCAGCAGACCCTCTCCTGAGCAAGGAGCCTGATGTGGGGCTTGATCTCAGGACCCCAGGATCATGACCAGAGACGAAGGCAGACACTTAATCAAGGGAGCCACCCAGGCGCCCCATACTCTGTCCTTTCATGAGGAGCCCAAGCGTACAGAAAGCCATGATGGTGGGGTTGGGGGCAATGTAACCCTTTCCTGTGCTTCTGAAGTTCATG